GACCGTGACAGAGAACCCCAGAGACCATCACAGACCGTGACAGAGAAACTCCAATACCTATTACAGACCGTGACAGAGAACCTCAGAGACCATCACAGACCGTGACAGAGAACCTTCGGACCCATCGCAGACCGTGACAGAGAACCACAGAGACCATCACAGACCGTGACAGAGAGCCTTTCGACCCATCACAGACTGTGACAGACAAGCGCCAGTGGTCATCATAGACTGTGAAAGAAGAGTTCAAGGAAGTATCAGAGATAATGCATAACTAACACACGATTGGAGCATATATGGGGTATTATCCTGTTTCAGCTCTATAATGTAAAGTAAGCCACGATGAAGAAATGTACACCAATATGCATAAAAAAGAACAATTTTTATAAGATTGGCAACAGCAGGTACATCGTGTTTCACATTTTTAATCCCGCAGGGGATTGCGCTAACAGCTTTTTATGAATAAAGAAATACTCTAGTGTAGGATTGGTTTGGCCGATTAATCGAATTTTAACAGTGTTAACATTGGAACCTGGATAAACGTAATATTTTTTCCACCATTGATAGAATTGTTTAGGAAAGTTAAGTGCTAATCCACGATCAAATATATAACGCGGATACATCACTTTTCGATTCCAGGTTTTTGTTTGTAAAACTAATGGATATTTTATTGGATCTTTCATCATTTTTTGAAGTTGTTTTTCACGTCGTGTGGATTTATAGAGTAATTATTGATGTAATCGTTGATAAGCTTTTTCATCAAGTAGTTGTACTATAGATGTTGCATTATTTAATTGAAAGAAATGTTTAAAATGTTTCGTAATAAAATACGGTGGATATTCATTTAATAATAATGACATATCAATACGAATACGTTCGGAATTAAAATCATCGACATGTGAACAAATACAAGCAGCTCGAACTAATGCTGCATATAGTATATTACGATGAATACGATATGGATGATGAGGGTGAGTTAGATAAAAGATAGAATTGATTCAAGCAACCATACGACACGTTTCGGTCTTTGCTAGAGACCATCATCAGGTATGTTTAGAATCAATAAAACTACATGAAATAATTAGTAGAACTATTTTAAGTACCTTAATAGTGAAATAAAATTTGTTATGGAAGTCAAAGACAACCAACATAGTTTATTTCAAAGGTATGGATAGTATCTAACTAATTTTAAAAATCGTAATAATTTTTAGAGTATGAAGTTGCAAAGATTTTCTCATTTCTGTGTTAATTGTCATTAGTCTTTATATTCTAAATAAATTCTAAGTTTAAAGTCGAATAATTTTTTAAAGGTTCATAGCATGATCGTTTCGGATATTTCTGACATTGTTATCATCAGTTATTTTATGAGTCTAGTTTTATTGTACGGAATCACACAGGATGCCAGTGTGTGACATGGCATTTGAATAGATTTATGCCAATGTTTCATTTTAAAGTTTAGGATGCCTTGCTTGACTTTGTGGTTGGGAAGGGATGTAGGGAACTATTCAAGATTATGTAGTAGTTGATTCTGTTTTGCTATGATGCGATGCAGATAACTGAAATGTTCTTCTCATTATTGTTTTACTGTTTTACGTATTGGATTTATATTATATGGCCAGTTTTTATGAAACATTTGGGAGTTTATTTTGTAGCTTTGAAATATTTTGTTTAGATAGGAAGAATTTTGGACCGCTATAAGTACCATATATGAAGTTTTATGATTATTAGTACTGGATGGAGTCTATTTAATAAGGAAGGTTATTCTGATAGAATACTTTTTAGACATTTAGCTGCGTTAATTCTACTATGTTGAGTGGAAGGAATGATAAAAATTATTAATATATGTATATATTATAATTAGATCAATTTTGTAGAAAGGATGGAATACTAGAAGTATTGGGTCTATTTGGATATAACGTATATTTTTGATATGTGAAGTTATGTGTTGTTTACATATTATGTTATAAGCTTCATGTCATTTGTCTATAAGATTGATTTACAAGTTACTTCATGTCAATCAGTTGTTCGGTGTTTATATTGGAGTTTGTTTGTTCGTAGGGGTTGAATTATTGATTATTGAAGTCCTTATCTAAGAGGAAAGGGAAAGGAAGGTAAATTGATGTTTAAGGATAATTAGAAGTTAAAGAACTAAACGTATGTGGATGAATGTCTAAGATTATTAAGTGTAAGAGAAATGATTCTCTATAAAACAAGTACGATTGAAGAAAAAGTTTAGTTTTCGGTTAATAGTTGAACTAAATATGCCACACGTTCCTATTGATCGAACTGAGTTAGTTCTTCATTATTTCTCTTGCTGTTACAAATTGTGGACGGTATTGATTGGATTTAATTGACCCA